GGGGCGCGCCTGTCCTGCGCGCGTGCCTCACGTGAAGCGCGGCCGCGGCACGTTTGCGCGGCCCGTCCCGGCTCGTTCATGGCTGCTTTGTTCCGTGGGGAGTCACGTGGCGTTCGTCGGCATTTAGCGCCAGTGTTTGAAAGGCTGAGAGTTTTTGAGGTGACGTTACCCGAGGAGATAGTTCGGCAAAGTCCACTTTCTTTCCTGGAAGACGAACTTGGTAGTCCACTTGAGGAAAAGATGAAACTTTTAGACGAACAAAAGGAAAGATCCATCGTTGGATCAGAGTCCCGTGAGGTTTACATGTTGAGCGCTGGAAAGTTCAGAAGAGAGCGAGGGCGGACCTGCGTTCTCACATTTATCACCTTGGAGAAATCCATCCCCTTCCTGTTGGCTTGAGCCAATCGGAGAGTGGATGTTGCACGCGAGAAGCCTTCTTTTATGGTCCCTTTGTTCCTCAGCGCGCGCTTCTCGTGGAAGGGGGTGTGTTAAATGAGGGTTTTGCAATAGCAATTTGATCTTCATTGGCAGTACAACGAATTAAAAATACACTTTACTTTACATCTCTATGCATATTCGAGTGTTTCATTCAATAAGCATTCTAGAGATATCAAGGAACATTATGTTATATCAAAGGAATATACACTTATGTTTCAAATGCATGACGAAGGTATTTTTAATTCCTATTTAAACTGTGACCAAACAAAGTTATTTCACTGTGACATGGGGAAGACACATATACATAAAAATCATTGAAAACATTTTGTTGAATGTTTTTAAACACCAAAAGTCCTTCTCTTTGTTCAAAAACATTCCACACATTCCGATGTGTGGGGGAAGTGAAAGGTTTGTGTGTGCGTGTATGTGTTGATGTAATTCGCCTGGCCAAGATTCATTACATCCTTTTTTGTAAACGGCGTTTGAGTTAGTTTTCACGTTCAACCTATGCGTTCAACTTGTAAACACTCTGACTCTGTACTTCTGGCTACGTCGCCCGTGACCTTTTGAACGTAATTACGTATTACGTGACGTTGCAAACGCGCCTCACAGAATGGAGAAAGGCTAGCATTTGTCCTTAGAAAAGTTACATTTTTGGAATAAGCATTGAAATAACCGATCGTTTCGCATGATAAGACCCTTATTCATCGTCTGGTGTCGTTTAAAGACATTTGAAGCTGCATCTGAAACAGTTATTAACTGTCTTTTGGACCTGAACCATCCGGTTCCCATTGAAGTCCATTATATGGAGAAAAATCCTGGAATGTTTTCATCAAAAACCTAAATTTCTTTTCGACTGAGGAAAGAAAGACATGGACATCTTGGATGACATGGGGGTGAGTAAATTATCAGCAAAAGTTTTTTCAAAAGTGAACTAATCCTTTCAGTTCCTTTGGTTATTGTGAAACTTGTTTTTTTGTTGTTGTTGTTTTCAAATCTAAGTCCACTTGAAAATGTGGTCTGGGTTAAGGTGGCCACTTCAATATGATTCACAATCAGTATGAAAATAATCTTTACAAATTGTGAACCAGTGCAGACGACATATAATATATAAAAATATATATTTATAAAATAATGCCTTTATCGTAGTTCTTTCTCTCTGAATACATGCCTTTGGATAGAGTGGATAACGTTCTTCAAATCCCTTGAAATGCATCTGTGGCAGAATAGTTCATGTACAATTTAAGAATATATCTGTATATGAAGAGTTCAGATGCAAAAGCCTCTAAATGCCATTTGAAATTTTCTTCTTTAATGATGATTTTTATCAAACTTGTATATTTAAGTTCAGTAATTTCACTTAAATAACAATTAATAGGTAATTATCATTGCCATTTAAGTGAAATCACTGAACTTAAATATACAAGCTTGATAAAAATGATCGTTCTAGAAGAAAATTTCAAATGGCACTTAGAGGCTTTTGCATCTGAACTCTTCATATACACATATAAGAGTGATGTACTTTATATACACATTGTCTATATTGGAGTCTTCCAGTATAAATACACCCTAATAGATCTGCTGCTGTGTATTATGTCGGCAAATATTGGCAAAAAAAGACCCCTTAATCTAATTAATTTTAGTTTGTAACTACTTTGTTTTATTGGGAAATATGTGAAAACATGTTCTAATTTAAGAGTGAATTAGATATTAATAGTTACAGTTTTTAAGGTATGTTAAATGGGATGTTTATTTATGCTGTATCAGGATTTTATTATAAATGTTATTAACGGGTTGTACAATCAAACTTGTGTGTTTGTGTGTGTGTGTGTGATGTGTGACTCTGTTAGCCAGTAACTGCATCACAATCACACAGTTGGTGGTAATTTGTGAACACTCAAGTCACTGCCAACTCTGCATACAGTCACTCTCATTTACACACACAATTTCACATCCGGCTTATCAACCAAATGATGACCCCTTTCACAAAGAACAATTCACAAGTCCACACTTTCAAATAAGCAGATCAGTAAAAGAGTATGAGTATTTGGCATGCTGTCCGAGGAGAACGGGATTTTGGCCTGAACCCAGAGTACTCCCCAGTATTCCTGGCTGTAGGTACCAGGAGAGTGAGGAGACGGGGATGTGGAGGGATACTGAAAACTGCCCAGGAACATACACTAGGTGAGTCGGCTGCATTTACCTCTTCTTGCGCTGATTGGATAGATCATTTGAACGTGTTCCTTACAAAATTTGTTAAAATATCTTTCTGTAAACCCAAAGTAAAATTCGTTTAAAAAAAAAAAAAAAAAAAAAAAAAACGTGTCTAGTGCGTGAATGGCCCCTTAGTTGTTCTGTGTGAAAGGCCCTTTAGTTAACTCTTTCGCAGCCCTTGTGGTTGATAGAAATATTAAGGCTATACTTGGCTAAGTAAAAAGCAAACAGAACCTTTGCTTCAAGCACATGGCTAAGTACACATCCACTTCATGGAAAATGATTGATTGCTGTGAAAAGCACCCATTACATCACTGCACTACTTTCGCACTATTACATTGCACAAGCATTAAAAAAGGCAATGTTGATTGCTATCTTCTGCTTACCAAATCAGCATATAGATATAAATCACTTACCTAGGTTCTTCTCTATCTTGATACAAATAATATTATCCACTGACGCCAAAGAAGATAAAGAATAGTACCCCTGTTCTCACATGCTAGTATTATGCAAATATGTGTGTATTTGTTGCAGGACAAAGGTCAAACAGATAAACACTCCTACAGATATTGACACACTTCACACATACAGATCCTCTCTCGGAAGAGCTATGAGCAAGGGAGGGAGCAAACTCCATTGAAAGGAATGTGGTAAAGAAATGACAGAAATAATTGCAAGGGTATCACATGAAGAGATTTAACTTAACAGAAGACGCACACAGCTCACAACACTCCACAGGTATTTATACTTGACATTTTAACTTTTGCCCTATTCTACAAAACAACAGGTGACAGCAAAAATAACCAAAAATGTTTTAGCAAAGTTTACTTGGCAAATGTTACTCAGCATGGCCTAGACTGTGCTCAAAATCTCTCACTATTCCCTTAAATAGGGCACTATTTGAGGGAACAGCCATTTGTAGTGGTGTCCGAAACCATTATAATGTGCACTCAATCAATCCCATAATGCACCACAAGTGCACAACCGATGTACATGCAAAAGCAAGACAATACATAATGCACTGTGAGGGTTGCATCAAATGAATTACTGCGTTTCGCTGGCAGATGAATCATCCATCTATCCATTTTCCAAAGTGCTGGTCCAATGTGGGTACAGCGTAATATCATGCAGGTATAAATTCATTTTTAATCGATTATTCAACTGTTTGAGTAAGTACGGTTTCCCTGACAGTTCAAGATAAATCCAGTTTGCTTCCGGCACACTCAGTCTGAATTCACTCTGCTTCAAGTAGACTGTATTAGTGGACTAATTTAGGGAAAAGTGAATGAGGGTGTAGGGGGCGATTTTAAAAACAGCCCTACAGTTTTTTTTTTGGCAAGTGGCTGGTTTCAACAGACGTTGGAGTTAGAGTGTTGTTAAAGTGCCCCTATTATGCTATTTTAAAGGTTCCTGGTTTTGTCCTGTCTCCAACAACAGTTTTACATGCATTAAAGGTAAAAAAATCAAACAAATCATTTTCTCATAATACACATTGCACATAACCACATTTTTCAGTGATTCTCAAACGACTCGACGGATAAATCGGTCTCTCTAAATCCCTCAATTCTGCGAGCCTACTGTGCTCTGATTGGTCAGAAGGCCCAGTCTGTTGTACAGAGCGTGTCGGAAGCTAAAGCCAGTTACTGTAAGCTCTGGAGGCTTCCTCAGTCCTCAGCGATTGCACACACTCTAAAGACGACCTAGTCGGTTTTACCATATCAATCCGAGCGCGAGTCCGGTGATGAAACATTGGAAGAACTATTACGTCCTTTTGCAATTCAACTAGTTATTCAGTTAGTCAGTGCATGTCTATCAACAAACCGATGTGTATATTTCTTATTTATTGCAGTGCACAAACAAATATTGCTCCATCCTTTACCTTTACTCAAAGTAGTAAGAACAACAGACAATCTGCATTAAAAGACACCGTTTTAGGTAATAGTGGCCCACAGATGCTTAGCAGAAGTATTTCAGTAAGACAGCAGTAACGCGAATTAGCCGGTTAGCCGGAAACTTACACAATATAAAAACAACCAGCAATTATATAATATCAATGATTATTCATACTTAACGGTTGATTCTAAGGAGCAAGCTTTACCAAATAAACTGGGTACTGAGTGACCCACCTTTCAAGAGCAAGCGTTTTGTGAATCCAGAATTGTACTGAGAAGCATCCATCAGTAAAATGACGTTTAAGTAACTGGTAATGGAAAAGGTATGAGGTGGGATAAAAAACTATATATTTCAACGATTTTCTCTGGGGAAAGTAATACTTTTGCTACAGAATTCAAAAGTTTTGTGACCAATATGGTATCTTGGATGGGTTTTTAACAGGCCTTATCCTCCAAAATACGTGAATTCTATTCTCTTATCCTCCAAAATATGTGATTCTACCTTGTGATACTCCTAGAACTCAGTATAATGCCTTCTACCTATTGGAACAACATTCCTGTTGGGAGTGTGCCAGCAATGCCTTATCACCACTATCATCCTAGAGGACTCAAAAAAGTGATAATGGAAATGGCACACAGCTTCAAACACACACTAGTAGACAGTGTCAATAATATCTCTGCCAGGTCACTGTACACATGCTGTCCTTCACATGTGACCCATTTCTGTCTCACACACACACACACACACCAGATAGATGCACTACATCTCTCTAAAGGGAATGGCTTACTGTCACAATGAGACGAGGTCAACTTTTTCAACAAGCAGAAACAGTTCGCTGACATGAGTGAACTACATTTCATGTACACCACCATCTGATCTCATTTACACCATCAGTCACTCTCAGGATGACTGCATTTATGTTTTGTTGCTCAGGAAAGGTGACATCCTTCTTCTGTCAATCATACTTCTCTGCTGCAGTTTACAAAAAAGTAAGTCCCCTTCTGTCATATTATGGTGAACTTCTATTCAATATTAAACAGCAAAATTTACACAGATGAATTTATCAGAGCATGAAATTAGAGCCTGTAATTAAATAGGAAAATACATTACATTGATGATTCCTTATAAATTTGTTCTTTTTCTTCAATAAATGTGTTATTGACTCAAAAAGATGCAATAAACTAGCCTGGAATCATAATTACTCCTCAATGGATCAAGTCCAGACCGAACTTCCCGACCAAAAAATGTTGTGGGCAGAGTTCGGTCTGGACTTGATCCATTGAGGAGTAATTATGATCAGACAAGAAACGTTCGGGCCAATCAAATTGCCAGGGCGGGCGATGATCTGCAAGGACGTAATCATCACGTTATCAAAGAGCGCTTAACTGTTTTCCCTCAGAGATGACTGCAGCTGGAGAATTAAGATGTATAGATTCCACTGTTGCGTCTGTTGTGAAATAAATCAACAGCGCATTAATTGTAATAGACAAACAGAGAACTGCAATCAAGGCATTTGTCGATCGGAAAGATATTTTTGGCATCCTTCCTACATGATTCAGGAAAAGTGTAACTTATCACCTGGCTCTGACGGTCTTTAAGAAGATGGGACGTAATGAAAAGCCTGTGGTCGTTGTGGTTTCTCCTTTGGTCGCACTCATGGAGAAGTAAGTAAAAGAAGCAACACTCGTTATTTAACTTCTAAAATAAGTAAGTTCTGTAGTTGAGAACTGCACTATGCAAAGGAGTTGACTTACTGCGTTGCTCTGATTGGTTGTAGGTTTCCTGACTATCCAATTGAGTGCAGAGGGGTTTTTTTCCTGGTTCGGTTAGCCCTACGGAGCGGTTTCAGACTCATATTCTTACTAGAATATGAGTATGACGAAGTCAGGCTAGCAATAAACTAGTATTGACTGATTTTTGTTATATATTGATATCATGTTAATAATACTAGCTACTGGGGTGCCTCAGGGCTCAGTGCTTTGACCAATTCTCTTCTATCTATATGTCATCACTAGAATCTGTCATTCAGAAACATGGTTTTTGCGATCACTGTATGCGGACAACACACAACTCGATCACTCACCCTAACTGGAGGATCCGACGGTAGCTGCTTGCATCTCAGCCTGCCTGACAGACATTTCTTGCTGGATGAAGAACCACCACCTTCAGCTAAACTTTGTGAAGACAGAGTTGCTTGTGATCCTGGCCTACCCAACACTACACCACAACTTCTGCACTGAGCAAGGTTCGTCATCCAATACTCTATCAAGGTCAGCCAGCAACCTTGGAGTTGTGATCGATGATCAATTGAACTTCATTGACCATATTGCTAGAACGGTCAGGTCCTGCAGATTTGCCTTGCACAACATTAGGAGGATCAGGCCCTTCCTATCAGAACATGCTGTACAACCCCTTGTCCAAGCACGTGTTGTATCCAGACTGGACTATAGTAATGCTCTCCTGGCTGGTCTTCCAGCTTGCACTGTAACTGATCCAGAATTCTGCAGCTACAGTGGTCGTTAAGGAGGCAAAGAGAGTACACATCACAAAATTGCACTGTTTGCCAATAGCTGCTCACATCAAATTCAAGGCACTGATGCTTGCCAACAGAACAACCACTGGCTCTGCTCCCTTTTACCTAAACTCATTACTCCAGACTTACGTTCCATCCAGAATCTTACGTTCTGCAAGTAAACATAGCCTCATGATGCCATCTCAAAGAGGCACAAAATCTCTAAAATCTGACCTTTAACATGACTGTTTCCTGCAGGTGGAATGATCTGCCGAACTCAACCTGAGTCCGTAGTCATTTTCAAGAAACGGATGAACTTTTGGCAACACTCGATCCATTAATACAAACACTTTCTTTTCTTTTCTCTTTTATTCTATTCTATATCTTATTTTTTTATTACGTATACTGCATTAGACTAAACTGGGAAGGGTCACAGCACTTGCATATTGTTGTCCCATAGTTAGTTTAATTGCTCCTCAAGATGGGTTGTTAAACACCCCAGTCTACAGGAACTGCCGAATGACAGTAATTTCTTACTGTACGCTTCTTTCCAGTTATGGTTAAAAACTCTACAAACTCGAAAAACTCTTCACTCGTACTTTGAGTGTGATTCATTAACCAAAAAAAGAGAAAATACAAAAATGTTGCTTCTAAATGATAGCATTAATTTACCATTATTTCTGAGGCCATTTTTATTTTATGTAGTTATTTATTTATTTATTTTATTCTATAGATGTCACAATAATATCACCATCTAATTATATGTTGCATTCATTGTGTTTGGTATAGACAATATTTGATTTACTATTGTCATGTGAGCACATCAGTATAGAATTCAGCTAAAATAAATTTAAGAGAAATGATAAACCATAAGAAATTAGATCAAATATAAGAGAACAAACATGAAATATAATAGTATAGCAATAACACTGAAGAACAGATATAAAGGAACTGATCAAAGAACAGACATACAACAAAAAAATATAAGGATATAGGAACAAAGACAAAGGCACTTTGATGAGAAAAAAACTGTCTGAGCTGTTCTTAAGAAAGCTACAAGGCCCAAAGCATTATATAGAGTCAAGAGACCAAGAAAGAATGAATGTAATGCTTCTCCGCCTTACCTTAAATCGCTTATCCTGAAGGACCTTCTTAATGGCCACCAGTTCTCCTGAGTCACAGAGCTTGGCCTGATAGACCACGCCAAAAGAGCCGTTACCAATGACCTTGGTGTCAGTGTAGCTGACCTCCTGCGGCCGGTCAGGTCCCTGTCCAGGAGTCGCCACCACTGTGGTCACTTTACTGCCATCTTTATCTCCTACAGACAGATAAAAAGAGATGGGGGTTAGAGACTGATGCTACACACAGGCAATAAAAAGGCAATCGGAAAACACAACAATGTCTCCATCCAATAGTAACAACACCTGGCATCCTCGTAATTAATAATTTAATGATGAGTACTTTGGTTGGTCCAAGAACCATTTTCTCCAATTAATAAAATATAATACTGGTTGAAACTCTCATCACATCCTGATATCAATAATAGAAGTGGTCTAAATATTACAGGACAAAAATGTTCTCCCAATCATTGCATTCAGTCCGAATGTGATGATACGATATCCTACCTGCCAGTAAACATATATATTTCCATACCTCCGTGACCCTGCTTGCACAGACATTACACATGATCAGTATGTTGCATGAGGCAATGCAATGAGAAGGCAGACAGTCACAGAGCACGCTAAAAAAATCAACCCTATCAACACAGAAATCAATCTGCAGCAGTCAAGTAAGATTGATTACAAGTTGTTTACGTTTATTATCATTATAATTTTATGTGATTTGAGACATGAGGTCATTTAACTCTGACTCTGCTCTGGCTGTGCGTGTTCACATGTTTTGAAGGAGGCGTGGCTTTGGAGATGCTCTGAATGGAGGGTGGGATCTAATGCTTTCAAAGCTAGCTTGCTATTGCTAGCCTCTCTGAAACTGCCTACCCTACCTTTAATATCTAGGAATTTCTGATATATATATACAAATTGCTTGAATCCTGAGACCTTAGCATTACTAGCGCCAAAACTGTTTGAACTACAGGATACAACATCAAACTTTTGGACAGACAGTGAAATGTACAGTGTCAACACAGTGAAAACATCTAAAACATATCCTTGTTGGTGAACAAGCCCTATACCACTCTATATTCTTCCCCTTCAATGAGATTTTAACCACTGCGACTAGATAACCTGAACCAGATCAGTTCAATTCATTAACAAATCGTTCACTGAACCTCATTCACATTCGTTATAATACAAAGAGTGGCCAGAACGTTTTTCATGATCTCCTTTTGTGTTCCATAGAAGAAAGAAAGCCGATGATGACAGAATTGGCCATTTTGGGTGAACTAATTGAAAAAACAAAAAAGTCTGTTCTGTAAATTAGGACCAAATTGTGATACACTAACAGGCAAAACCTGGAAAGAAAATCTACCTTGAGCTTATGCATTTTACATTACTGTTCTTGCCAGATGTCTTCTCACCAAAGCAGCATAAAAGAAAGTGCATATTTGGCGCGTGGGAGGATTACTTCAGCAGGTGACTTTGGATGAAAGTCGATTATATTGCTTACAATGCAAACATAGCACGTGAAATATAATCCTCAGCATGATGTGGTGAAGTTTTCAGCGAGCCTATACTTTCTTTTAAAGCGGTGAGGGGTAATAAACCAGAGAAATGAGAGAAGTATAATGCCATTAGTTTATTAAGGACAGATTTAAAGAACTCATGAAACTATTTATTACCTTGTACGATAAAATTAGGACTCAGCTGTATATACTACGCAATGCACCAACAGATTCTGCAATATTAAATATTTCATTCCCGTTATTAAAATTAAAGTTAATTTAAAGTTACTCATTTCATGACGAGATGCAGGTCCCTATGACCAATTCAAATCATGCGTGTGCGTACAATGACGTGTGTGATCTGGCCCGGTTATTATTAGATGGTTGTGACTAATTGGACTATCTTTTTTGTAGTCCAGACTAACATTCAAAGTCTCTGTTAACATTGCTAAAAGTTAACTGCATAGATTGTATTGTGCCTTTTCAATCCCCCATAAGCACAGACCAAATTCTTCAAAAAGTCTCAAATCAGGCCTGCGGATATCCAATGAATCTGCAATTAGTGGCAGACTGTGTTAGCTGTAAGATTTAGATCAGAATCAGGTAGAGAGCAGCTCCTCCCTCATCACCTGAGACAGACTGACAGCCAATGCCAACCAAATTGATTTGCTGCAAGGACTGGGAAGAAATATTGATTTGCCGATTAACTGTGACCTTTGTTTGAGCGTTCCAATATCGAGATTTAAAATCTCAAGATTTTTTTTAATCCATCTCTTTTTTCACATAGGTTCTCCTTTATTTGATAGTACAGTGGAAAGGCAAAAGGAAAGTTGAGGCAGAAAGAAGGGGAATAGGAC